AACTGTTAATACTGAATCTGAAAACTGGTCTACAAATTATGAAGGAGAAGGATGTATTTATACTAGTTCGAAAATAGTTTCCCAATCACAATGAAAGTCTTTCTAATTAATGAGTTCTAATCCTACTAGGACCAATACTCCTAATTAATTAAATAAGTAGATAAAACAAAACAAAATAATAATAATAATAATTGAGATGTGGCTGCACGCCACTTTCTAATTATTATATATTAATATTTATTTTATTTACTTTTCTTTTAATTCCAAATCACAAAAGAAAATATCTACTTTATTTAATAATAAATACATCTTATTTAAGTATGATAAATCTAATTTATCTTACTTAATTAATTCTATCAAATAGAACTCTCCTTCAGCTTCATGAATTAAATATGTTTAATCTAATTAATATTTAATTCATTTTCAGTATTACGAATTAAATATTATTTAATCCAATTAATAATATTTAATTCCTTCTAACAATTCAATCGGAAGGTATAATCACTTGTTGTGTGACCCATAGGGCCTTATATATTAAGCACTAATCAAATTAAGGTCTTAGCGAATCCCTAGACGATTCTCTAGACAAACTTAATATATAAGGACGTTTGCGAGGACTATACAAACTCCCTGTAATATAGAGCTCATAGTGATACGGTCCTTTCATTCAGCGAACATTCAACTAAGTCTAGAACATGATATAGTGTCTATCCCAATAACTCAGTCTCTGTCTCTCAATCTTTCTAGATGATCCATAACGATCATATTCGATATCCAAAACGAATATATCTTTGCATTGGCCAATGACTTTATGATCCATCTAGATATGAGAAGTAGAATGTTCTCTCTTAATCTATTATGAGGAATGAATCCTTTCTTGGCTCAACTACTACTCCATGTGCTTCGTGATGCACCCAACACATGCCGTATCTACCCCGATTGGAGTGCAAGCGTTGGTCATGGTCAAAGTACATCACTCCGCACATGTAGTACGTATTGACCTCAAGTCGGAGGACTATTACACTACTCTATACGCCGATAATCCCATAGACACATGAATAGAACTTATCAAATGGTTTCTCGGTGGGTATGCCAATATTCTCTAAAATATCTATGTGACCATCATGAATTACAGGAACTCATAGTCGTGAGATCAACTATACTTTCTAAAAGTATGATGCAGTCCACATACCAATCTTATCGCATATCATCAATATCCCATTCTTGATGATCATTGATTGGGGCTATTTTAGGAACTTATGTTATATCATATAAGCTCCCACTTACTTATTGACAACATAAATCCAAGGGAACACAATTATGAATAAAACATTGACAATCGAAAACAATCATTCATAAAGTGTAATACCATGTATATATCAAATATAAAAACTAAATGTGATCAAGTACATATGTCGTTAAAGAAATGATTGTCGCTAGGACATATATACTAACAGGCTCATCACTGAGTTGGAACAAGCTGCTGTCGACCTAAGCCTTCAGCTCCAAGGGCAGACGAGAGGCGTCCCCCTCAAGACAAGGGCAGGGCACCACTCCATGCCGATGACACAAGACATCAAATCAACCAGGCCCACTCGGTCCGTGTTCGCTCGCAAGGAGCGGAGGCCCTCCCGAAGGATCACAGGGACGAAATCATTGAAGCCCTCCAACGCCGCCTTGATGAGATGGAGGCCCGCCAGGCGCACACAATAGCTTCCGCCTCCCAGGCGGACCCCAAATACACCGCCATGCTGGCCAAAATGGAGGAGATGCAAAAGAAAATAGCTGAGGGCTCCGGGGAACCCGTCATCCAACTCCGGACTAGGATGCCATTTACCCCAAGGGTATTGGCGGCCCAAATTCCGGGAAAGTACCGAGGGCAACTCATCAAGCCCTACGACGGGAAAATTGACCCCCAGGAGCATGCAGATATCAGAACAGTATGATGATGGTGGGGGCATCGGACGAATATTTGTGTCGTTGGTTCCTCTCCACCTTAGAAAGACCAGCGTACGAATGGTTCAACCGACTGCCCGAAGGCTGCATCGATTCATGGCAGGAACCCGCCCAACGTTTCTTGACACAATTTGCGGGAAGGCGCCGGTCAAGAAAACACTTGTCCCACTTACTAACGAGACTTCTTGGACCGCTGGAGGACGGAGGCGGATAAGGTTGACGGCGCCGATGACGGGACCCTCCTGACCCTCCTACAAACCGTCCTCTACAAACCGTCCTCCGCACAGGGAACTTTTTAAGGAGCCTTATCATCGAACCTCCCCGCGATTACATAAGGGCCCTATAGCGGGGGGACCGGTACGCCGAGGCCGAGGAGGTGGAGAAATGCCACCAAAACCCCGAGCAACAACGCCTCAAGGCGGACGACAAAAGAAACCGGGGGTTGGGGGCTCCCCCACATCAACCCAGAGGACCGACACCCTCCGGTGATCACCCCGGCATGGCCAAGCCAAGCCCGGGGGAGGTTACAAGGGCAACCCGAAGGCTTGGCCCAGCCCATTCTCTTGGAGGACCCTCGGAATCCCTTGACACACCCCGTCAACGTCATCCCCGACTTCGCTGAGGAAAGGAGCCTCATCGAGCGAGACTCTCACGCGCCCCCAGAGGTGTACGCCATCAACCCCAATTATCCTTACTATCGCTTCCATTGCAATCAAGGGCACATGACCGATGACTGCCACCAACTGAAGACAGCCATCGAGAGATTAATACAGGCGGGCCACCTGTCCCAATTCGTGAGGGGCCCTAAACATCAAGGTCCTCCCTACCAGCCCCCCCCCTAAGAAAGCAAACGCTTGGGTCAACCCAAACACCACCACCCCTCGGCGACCCGAAGGGTAAGAAAAGGGAGATCGGATCCTCGATGAGGAGGCAGAGTACAACCAGTACCAGAAGAAGAAGCGCCACATCCTCATGATCACCGGAGGCAACACAGGGGGGACTCCACCAGCCAAAGGAAGAAGTGGGCTCAATCGCTTTATGTGGGGGAAGTCACTCATATGCCCCCCGTGAAGCACGATGGCCACGCGCACGATGGCCACACGCCGTGCACGAGGTTTTCACAGGATTTCTCGATTGCGCTCACGATCGTGCGCACGCCATCCGCGCGATCATCCGTGGCCAATTTTGTCTCCTTTTTTGCTTTTTGCTATTTAAACAACTTGTAAACCCTGTTTTGGTGTACATTGAGTTTAGAGACAAGCCTAAGACAAGATTTTCATTGTTTTCAACATTGGAATTTCTAATTCAAGGATTCTTTGTGAGTTCTTTCCCTATTCGATTAATGACAATTCATTCTTACTTTCTTAATTCTGATGCTAATACAATTATGAATTGTGACTAAATTTAATTAGGGATTGATGAAGGGGCGTAAATCATGATATATGATTCGTTCTTCATGGATTAATTGCATGATAATTATTTAATTTATATGTGAACAATTTAATTTTTATCTTTTAGAACGTGGAACGTCCGATAGGATTATAATTGCACACACTACTATAATAATTTAAGAGAGATCTAAGTTGTTCTAGGATACTATCACCCACACCTTACTACTCGCTAGGAGATTAGCAAGTTAGAAGCTGTCGCATAAGAGACCTGCATGTCTCTCTAAATCATTGTACTCTACGCCGCTAGCAGTAAGAATTTAGTATTGATTAGCGTTGCTCAATTAGTTAATTTTCATGTGATTAAGCCCAATCAGACTCAAAATCTGATTGCTCCGGAATCAATGTCGGATCCCTTCCTATCATTAATTCGAATGAGTCACTTATTTTTAGCTTTATTTTCGTAACAATTTAATTTCAATAATCCATATCGCAGAATCGCATTGAATTTATTTATTTTAATCAATAAATTTATTTAATAATTAATTTTCCTTTTCTGTCCTTGTAGAGATGATACTCGTTCTTAAATCATGTACTGTCACACGTATTTAAAGTGCGAGAAAGCACACATCAAAGAGTTGATTCTTTTCTCAACTTCATCCACAAATAGTCGTCCTTGTCCTGTATGGTAATGGGATTACTTAAGATGAGCCCGCTACCCTATTGTCAGAAAAGCGTCCCAATTCTAGGTTTATTCCGATGTTTGCCATCCTCCTTCGATCCCTTAAAGTTGCGACACTCATATTAGGGATTTCAGGTGGTCGGGATAGCTGTATTCTTCTCCTTTTCCTGGTCTCGGTAACCATGCATTACCCCACACTTGAATGTCTCCATCGTTTCTGACTATTCTCCGAACATTTTTTTGGATAACCGGTTGAGTCTCCTAACTACTACACAAAATATATGGGGGGTTATTACCCGGTTGTGCATCCAGAAACGAGCACCCAAGAAAATGATGAACTTTGAAAACTCAACAAACTAGGCTTATCAACCAAATGTTTCACTTAACACGTAACTTTTGATTTTGCGGGCTAAAGTTTATATTAATCACAATAACACTAGTACAAAAAAGGCTTTTCACATCGGTCAAAAAAGGCTTTTCACATCGGTCAAACAGCCGATGTGGTTCCAGCCCATGTGAAAAGTATTGACTTTTCACATCGGTCAATGAACCGATGTGGAAATTCTTTCTACATCGGTCGTTCAGTGTCCGATCTAGAAGATAGTCCAAAACAGCGTTTTAAATGATATTTCACATCGGTTATAACCCATTGGAAAAGCAATCACATCGGTTATTTTACAACTGATGTAGAAAACCTTCAATTTTTCCCGGAGCATAGGTTTTTCACATCGGTTATAACCCATGTAGAAAAGATTTCACATCGGTCATTTTATCAACCGGTGTGAAAAGCTTCATTTTTTCCCGTAACATATGTGTTTCACATCGATTATAACTCATGTAGAAAAGCAATCACATCGGTTATTTTACAACTGATGTGAAAAACTTCAATTTTTTCGGTATTTTTCAGGGAAAAAATTTGCAATATAACCCCGTTTATACTATAATCACATCATTAATAATATCATCAACAACTATAGCACAATTTTTCACTGTTCACTTGATCCAACTAAAACAATAACACAAACTATTTTTCAATTCTTCCACAAATGTTCAACAAGTTCAAGTAACAACTTAGTACATAATAATAAACGATGCCACACTGCCTTCAGGAAGAGTTAGACATTTGTCTCCAGAATTCTGAGGCTATTAACTGCTTCAAAATATTTTTGTAGTGACCAGCTCCTTGCCACAGTGCCTTCAGGAAGTTCAGCAAATTATAAAGTACTTTGGGGTTGCTGGAAAAAAATCATTATTTTATATCATTATATCAACTCAAGCAGCAGCATTCAAAGGGAAAAAATTCTGATTAGTTAATCAGAACTATGAATACGATCTTGAAGAGCAGGGGGGCTTACTTTTCCGTTCGTTCTGCAGATTCCTTTACATGTAGAGAAATAGTATTCAATACATTCGCATCCTTGGACCGTAATATGTACTGACATGCTTGATTTTTGTCAGTAACGTATGCTTGCGAATTCGCATTCTCTTCGGGGGCAATCACAGCGGAAAGAAATGATGCCTGCAGCAAGGAAAATGCAACTTGATAATGAGTACAATCAGGTCATAAATTCGTAATATACTAGCAAGTTACATGATTCACACTATTATCAGTTACATAATAGGACGGCCTTTTTTTATTAATATTACTAGAATAAACACAAAAGACACAAACATGACATGTTTTAAAGTATTCCAAAAAAGTGACTTACCGTATTATTCATATCCATGAATTAATACTGCATTTATTATTTTTACATTCCTTTTTAATAATTAATCAACTCATGTTGTCTAGCCATCCCCAAGAACCGTCACCACCCGAGTGTTCCACCGCTGCCACTAACACCGGTTCCGTAAGCACTGCCGCTGTCCCGCCCTTTAGTGAATATTAATGACTAACATAAATTTCGCAGTGACTACATAACTACTTAACTCAGCAGTGACTACAGTGACTCCGCCGCTAATCACTAATAGCGGTCATTTCACAGCCGTAGTCACTGGATCGAGTCCCCTTCACCATAAAAATTCATCACAAACTCTATAAGTGACCATGTCTATGATACTAATGGGATAGTCACTGGACCGTGTTAGCCGTAGTGGATCACCTCCATCACAAACTATAGTCACTAATCATCTTCATCACAACCCTAGTCACTAACGAGTATGTACATCACCTCCATCACAAACCCTAGGTGTCACCCCACGACATTAGTGAAACTTTGACCGTTGCCCACGATTTCACTAAAATCCTAGTCATTGTACATGACGTCACTAAAACCCTAGCCGCCGTCCACAATGTCACTGAAACCCTATCCACTTCCCATGACATCACTGAAACCTTATCCATGGTCGCCCACCATCAACAAAGATGGAGTAGAAAGGTGAGGGGAGAGGGAGTAGAAGAATAAATTAATTACGGGCGACGGCTAGAAAATATGAGCTTAAATGTATAAATGAGGAGAGAACATGACCACATTTATCGATGAAAATGGTGATTCCATGAGAAGGACGAAGCTGCTTGTGTAAATTATTAATTATTGGAAACCATTGAGGTCATGGGGATTCAAAGTTGCAGTAGATTCTTATCATGGGATGGGGAGGGGCTGTGGCAAAAATGAAGAATGAGGAAAGGGATGGCTAATCTTTGGAGAGGAGAAAAGGTAGCTCCGTAACATACGTATCATTGAAGGATTTATTTGATATTTATGGTAAATAGTAATTATACAATAATGAATTATAGTAAATAGGGTTGTATTAAATTAATGGTGTTAATTAAATTGGTCACTTCTATGAAAAACTGAAAGAAGATCATATTTATGTCTAAAGAAACTCTAGATGTAATATCTATGCCATTATTTCTACATAATAATGATACATCAGGCATGTTGCTAAAAAAGGCTTCCTAACTCAAACAACTAGGGTTAATGAAAAAACTCATGTAACAATTCATTAGAGAAGATTGAAGACTAACTTGTAGATAGTATAATAAACTCCTTAATTATTAAGCAACTTATTCAGCAAAACGGAGGACATATTAAGCACAAATAGGTCAAGATCTCTTTTAGGTTCAGGCATTTTATTGCAACTAAGCAGCAAATGAAGCAACAAACGTACTTGATTTGTTGCAGCAGAAGTTAGCATCTTGAATGTAGCAACTATTATATCATCATTTGCATCAGTCTGTTCACAAAGAATGCTACAAATGGCATTCTTAAAATTATGAATCTGTTACATGCAATAGACATAATTAGATATGACAGCCCCTTCAGCTTGATTATCAGCCAATATAGTTTGAAAATGATACTGTACCTGCATTTCATCAAGACCAAAATATGCATTGCCGAATGCACAAGAGTTTGAATCATCCCCAACAAAGAATAACACAGAGAGCAGCCTAGCTGCAGCGAGTTGTATCTTCTGGATGAACAGAACATTTGTTAATGAAATGTTAAGCAAAAGAGATTGAAGTTTCTAAAATGGTAGTCAAAACTAATACAGGAGAGTCTACAGAAAAAACCTTCATTTGATTCATTAATGAGGATAAGTTAAAGAGAAAAGGGGCAAATAAGCCCTCGAACTATTAGTGGTTATGCAATCAGATCCTTGAACCAGAAGACCTTGCAAATACACCTCTCAACCCATTGAAATCAAGCAATCAAGACCTTTTTACCTACTAGAGTCAGTAATTTCTCGTGAGAAAGTTATCTCCTTACCGGCACTAGCAGGCAAAAAACGGATTTGATTGCTTTATTTCAGTGGGTTGAGGGGCCTGATTGCAGAATAGCTAATAGTTCGAGGGCTCATTTTCCCCTTTTCTCTAAGTTATAAATGTGCTAAGACAATGTGGGCACAGAATCATACATGATTCGTGAAGAACGACATAAAGGATATCACTGCTGTAATCACAGGAACAAGTTTTGTTGCAGGAGACATAATTGCTTGTAGAAGCAGTGGACGACTAGGCAACTCCTGAAAACATAGAAGTGTGAGTCCCAAATTTGTTGAGACGCAATTAACAAGTTACTCACTGTCAACAAAGGAGTTCGACTGATTGCAATAATGCAGAGCAGCTTCTTGAAAGTTGTGAATTGACAAAAGATTATTTGGGAGTACGGGAAAAATATTTTAATAGGAGTTCTTTAAAACAATACTAATTACTAGTTTACTACAAGATTCAGTCCATGATAAAGGAGTTTGGGGTTGAGGAACTTCAAATTAGGCCACTGATATCCATCCAAATTGCTATAAACTCTCATGCAAAATAAGAGATACGAAAACAATCTCATTGAAAAGAATACTAAAAGTTCTTTAAAAGAATACTAAAAGATTCAGTCCAGAATTGTTTGCCTAATTATTGTTGTACTGTAAATCTTAGAACTGAAAACTGCCTATCCGCAAAAAAAACATTTACTTGCAAACCCTTGATTCTGTAGTCAAGTATGGTTCCTCCCCAGCTCACCAGCACCCTCCCCATCCCACCAGCAATTTAGGTGAATGAAAACCGAAAGAAATTTGACTCAAAGCAAAACTAAAACCAAAAATGGCTAAATAAAACACAGAAATCCTGACCTGTACTCGAGTCCTCGACGCCGTCCTATTCCTTGCTCGAATGTTGTCCTGTGCGCGGTCGAACTGTGCGTGGTCGAACGCCATTCTATGCTCGCTTGAAATTTGAAAGCAATTTGACTCAAAACAAAACTAAAACAAAAAATGGCTAAATAAAACATAGAAATCCTGAACTGTACCGGACGCCGTCCTATTCCTCACTCGAATGTTGTCCTGTGCGCTGTCGAATGTCGTTCTATACTCACTCGGAACGCCGGAGCCGCGATAACTGTGTGCCACAGTCGGCTTCAGTCGAGGTGGTCGATGGCCCAACTTCAGACCATTAGTATTTCTCCGGTCCCGTCTCCGGTCGCTGGTCCAATAGGTCGGCCAGGGGTGTTTGTTCGCTAGGTTTGAAACGGGAAGTAGAAGATACGGATGAAGGCGCTTTTTTATGTTTTTTTGTACATAGGGCAAAGTAAAACCGATGTTGACTAAACTTTCACTAATCCAAAAATTTACCCCGTTTTTTTGCAAGATCCGTTTTAGGGAGACCCGATGTTAAAAGTATTTTTAAAATTTTAAAATATACCCATTTCACTATTTGACATCGGTTATACCAACAGTTGATGTTAAAAAGTTTATCAAAATTATAAAAATGACCCCGTGTCACTATTCTACATGGGTTGTGATATAACACATGTTGAAAAAAGTGATGTAAAAGCCCTTTTTTGTACTAGTGTAAGTAAGGTTAAATTTAATTTACTAGCTGAATTGACTGAAGTTACTTTCGTGAATCATTTTAACTATATCTTTTTTTTCTATTTTTACTAGTAAAATATATTTTAAATATAATTTTTTCATAACTCAAAAAATCCAACTGCTTAACCCATAGCTTAATCAATTTCATCAGAATAAGGCGATTCAGCCAATTTTTTCCCAGTAAACAAGTATCTTTTGATTCTCCGCACTGAATTATATACGCCCTCTGCCCCGAAATTATCTTCATTCTTTCCTTTTTGATCCGCACCAAATTTATCTTCTTATTTCCCTTTTTAGCAACTTTTACCCTATTCATTTACCCTAATACCCTTACCCATCCACCCACATTCATTACTCCTAATTATTCTAACCGGCCACCACCACCCACCCAACCATATCCCCACCTTTTACGCTCTTTTCTCTCATGCCTCACTGTATTCCTCTCTGGTCTCTTCTTGAACTTTCTCTCTTCCCCACAGATGCTCCTCTCTCTCATCTGCCTGAACTTTCATCTTCTTGCCTCTAACTCCATCTCCCCTCTCTCTGTTCATCAACCCTAGTTGCCGTCTTCGGATTTGTGCAACCTTTGTGAAGTCTTCTCCACTGACACCAAATTTGAAATTGTAGTTCCATGAATGGCAGAAAAAACCTCTATCTTCTCTTGTTGTCCCGATGTTGTCCCTGATTCCGAAGATAATCTCACATTGATGAGGGTTGAAGACAATGAAGAAGGAGATTGGAGCGATGTTGGGCAGAAAGTTAAAGGATTACCAGAGGGGTTGCAGTCAGACACTATGAAAACTAGGATTCAATCCTCCATTGAGAGCATGGCCGCCATTTACCTTCGTCCTGTAGATACAACGACAGAGGAGTATTTTCCACCTACGTATCTTCCTCCGCATCCAGTCCCAAAAGTTCAACAACACCTTGATGAATTGATTAAAATATGGGTACCTCTTTACAAAAAATGAAGGTCGTACATCCCTACTTACTAATCTTTTCATCTTATTTTGTCGGTGCATGGACTTGTAATGTCCATTATATGATGCCTGCATGTTTTGATTTGCACAAATGATGATATGTGTGTCCTCTATGGCCTAAGGTACTCCTTGTCCTTATTCTGTGATGATTTATGAATTCTGAGTCATATTTCTTGATACCTACGCGTGTGCCCCACTTTCCTATGCCATGACTGCCTTAAGTAGTGTTCTATGGATTCTGTGATTGCTTCTATAGTCTGAGAGTCCTATTTGTTGATGCCTATGTGTAAGCTCTTGTTGTCTAAGAGATGACTGCCTTAAGCAACCAGGCTAATCCTAGGGAGGCTTAAGGCAGTGTTCTATGGATTCTGTGATTGCTTTTATAGTCTGAGAGTCCTATTTGTTGATGCCTATGTGTAAGCTCTTGTTGCCTAAGAGATGACTGCCTTAAGCAACCAGGATAATCCTATGTAGGCTAAAGACAGCCCTCTATGGATTCTATGATTGCTTGTATAGTCTGAGAGTCCTATTTGTTGATGTCAATGTCTGTTCCTAACTGAGGACTGCCTTAAGCAACCAGGATAATCCTTGGGAGGCTTAAGGCAGCCTTTTATGGATTCTGTGATGCTTTTTTAAAGTCTGAGAGTCCTATTTGTTGACGCCTTAATGATGAAAGTCTGCTTGTATATTCAAAAGATAAGACAAGATGCTATCATAGCTTATGACAGTGTTGTTTGTGTACATTATCTATATCTGTACCTCAAATCCAAAAAGACAAAAATCCAACAAACTGTCTGTCTATAGCTAGTACATACAAAAACCCAAAAACCCAAAAACATTGGTGTCTTGTCTGCTTTTATACAAAAACCCTTCTACCCTATTCATCCAAAAACCATTTCCTTGCAACCTACTCCTCAGCATTAACACCCTCCAACAATTGAATCACCTCTTTCATCGTTGTTGTGTCTGCATTCACTGAAATTGGTAGTTCCCACATCCCTTCTAATATGTCCTTACCAATATGGGGTAATTTGTAGTTGTTCCCACGCTTAGATTTCAAAATTTCATTCATACACAGTTGTAGTGATACCATACCTTGTTCAAAGTATGAGGGCTGAAGTCATCAAATGCATTCCTCACCCCTGCCACCAACTCTGAAACTGTTGAAGTTACTGTTGTTTGTTGCTAGGATTGAATTGCTCTAAAAAACTCTAGTCTAACACATTTACATCAGGACTATTAGGTGGTTGGCATGATAGTTTGATGTTAAATCCCCCACTAGTAGCCTCCTTCATGAACTCACAGTCATTAGGTCTTATATGTGGCTTGACATTATCTTGTTGTATATATATGTCCCCAGATGCATCAATTGGCCACTTGGCCTTGATGGCAGGCAGAACTTTACTAATTAGGCATTGTCTGTAAATATCTTTTGTGACACTGTCAATTGCATTTTCTTCAATTATCCCTGCAATTCTGTTTTTGATGTTTCTTTTTGCTGGCTCAAATGATGTGAAGGAAAACATACCAATTTTCCCATCAGATAAGACTTGTGAGTCTTCTGATAGCCTAGTCCTAGCAACAGCACACATGAACATCACTTTGCTGATGAACCTCTTGGAATAGCAAGTCTTGTGAGGTTCCTCTTCCCCTGGAAGCAGGTAGTACCTATTTGAGGTTTTGGTCATATAAAACCATTTTTCATCTACATGCACATAGTTAAACATGGGTTGAAACAGTGGTTGTGTTAACATTGATTCTGGGACAATGTGTGAAATGACCCATTCAAGTCTCTTAATCATGTTTGACTCAGTAAGAAAGGGTTTGATAGCATTTGTTTGTGCCTTTAATTCACCTGTTTGTATGAGTCTGTGCACTGTACTTTTTGAATATCCCATTGCTGTAGCTAGACTCATGATATTCTTTCTTTTATCAAGCTCGATTTCCTTAACATGAGTAATAGGTAGAATCTTTGCTTTTCTGCCTACCTTTCCAGCCATGTGTCTGTCCACATTAATAGGTAAACCTTCCATCTCACATTTCTTTACTTGCTTCCAAATGAATGAGATACACCTTTGTGACACATCATTTTCTATTGCAAGTGGAGTTAGTACTTCTCTTTTGAGCTTACCATTTGAGAAGATGTTGCATGATTCATTGCCTTGTTTCATTGGACAACCTCTTTTTTTGGAACAATTTTTGCCATTTATTTGACCTTACCTCTTCTTGTTTGTACTTTAGCTATTTTGAGAAAGGTTTGGTCGTATATATAGACTGAAATCTGTGGTGTTTTTATTTTTATGGAGGGAAGTGGACAAATTATTGAGAATTCCCGCCACTAGTCGGTCCTTGTGTTTTTCCCCTGTCCGCTGATTTTTTTTATGTACGGTTTCTTTCAGTCTAAAAAGGCTGCTACCTTTTTAGTGGAGTACTATTTATTACCCCTTTCCATTGTTTATTACCCCTTTTGCTGGCCGTAAATCACTGAAGGGCACAACTGCTATGTAGCACCGATACCGGTACGCGGAATCGCGGAAACGCGGACACGGGTACGGGGATACGACAAAACAAAAAAAGTAGGATACGGATACGGGGCCATAATTTTAAATATTAAAAGTTATGGGGGTGTATTTACAAATATTAAAAGTTTTAGGGGTGTATTTATAAATATTAAAAATAGATTTTTTTGGAAATATATACATATAATATCCTATGAAATATACAAAAATAATAATTATATATATATATATATATATATCCTATATATACATATATACCCATTCATTACATATACATCATAATATTTCTCATATAGTCATATACACTAGTGCATCTCGAAATATAAATGTAGACATGTAGTCGATAAGTCATTAATTTAAAATGAGAAATAAGTCAAACAACTACAATCTTGAAATTAAAAGTGCAAGTACCAAAGTTCTAGAATAATTAAGATAGAAAACAATATTTTAAAAGCTCTAACATCTAATACATATTTTCACTTGAAGTATTAATTTCCAGGAATAATATCATCTTCCAAAAAAACTTCTAATGATACGGGTATCCGTCAGGATACGAGTATCGGAAATTTTCAAAAAATTACAAAAAAGAAATGGAAAATTTTAAAAATTACAGATACGGCCCGGGAACGTACGGTACGAGTATCCTAGAGTATCGGATACGGGAACGTATCCGATACGTCGATACGCTACCCTAGGGAAGTATCTTGCTTCATAGGGCACAAGTGGAAAGTCAAAGCACAAAAGTGTCTTTTCTTAACCTCCGTGCCCAATCAAAACCGAAAATAAATCTGGGACGGAGGGAGTAATAATTAAAACAAGTAAGGTTGAAGTTACTTTTCTGACTGAATTGGCTGAAGTTACCGTAACAGATTACTTTAGCTATTTTTCAATATAATTTTTTCTTGGTTTTCTTTAAAATATAATTTTCCAATAATTTAGTAGATTCAGCCAATTTAGCTACAATGTCATCGAGTTCAGCGAGTTTAGCCGATTATGCCAATTTCAGTGTTACGAAATGGACTCTAAAATTGCCTGTATGACTGTATCTGTTGAATTGTGAAAAAAAAAAAATTAATTTTTTTTTGTTGATAAAATTGAGAAAAAATGCATGTACAATAATTGAAATGATCTTGTATAATAAATTCAGTCAATTCAAACACAAAAGTAACTCTAACCTTACTTATTTTTATTATCACACAACACGAGAAATCAAAAATTACACGTTTGATAGAAAAAATAGAAATTGCCCTAAAAACGCTTTAAAATTGCCCTAGAAAAATATCTGATGACGATTTACGATGCTTGACTGACGATAAAGCAACTTAATCACTGTTCACACTCTGATTATTTTTAGTAAATAAAATTAAAATATTCAGAAAATACATTAAAACTGCTACAAAACTTGATAAAAAATGTAAATATGGTAAAAGTTTGATTCATAAAGTAAAAGATTAAAAATGATTTAAGTTGAGCATGTGAATAGTGGACGGTTCCTCTTCTCCATCGTCTCTGACTATTCTCCGAACATTTTTTTGGATAACTGGTTGAGTCTCCTAACTACTACGCAAAATATATGGGGGATTATTATCCGGTTGTGCATCCAGAAATGAGCACCCAAGAAAATGATGAACTTTGAAAACTCGACGAACTAGGCTTATCAATCAAATGTTTCACTTAACACGTAACTTTTGAATTTGTGGGCTGAATTTTATATTAATCACAATAAGTAAGGTTAAATTTAATTTACTACCTGAATTAGCTGAAGTTACTTTAGTGGATCATTTCAACTATATTTTTTATTAATAATATATATTTTAAATATAATTGTTTCATACCTCAGAGCATTCAACCGCTTAACCCAGAGCATAATCGATTTCATAAGAATAAGATGATTCAGCCAATTTTTTCCACTAAACAAGTAACTTTTGATTCTGCGCACTGGATTGTATAATAATTAAAATAAGTAAGGTTGAAGTTACCTTTCGGACTGAATAGGTTGAAGTTACTGTAGCGGATTACTTAATCTATTGTTCCATATAATTTTTTCTTGGTTTCCTTTAAAATATTTTTTCCCAATAATTTAGTGGATTCAGCGAATTTAGCCGATTCAGGCAATTTCAGTGTTACAAAATGAACTCTAAAATTGCCTGTATCTGCTGAATTGTGAAAAAAAATTAAAATTTATTTTATTATAAAATTGAGAAAAAATGAATGTACAATAATTAAAATTTTGCCTGTATCTCGTCCTTTCTGTTTAGCTAGCTCCTGTTAGGGATTGGTACGTGTAGCTCCGGCGATTACGTTTCCATATCCTTTTTGGGTAATGTGGGTATGGACTTTGTGACCGTATTCCTTACCGTTAGTATTCCTCTGTCTAGGTCCAGTTTCTTGAGTACATGATAAAATGATTTTTTTATTAATGATATAACTCTGAATAAGAATTATTTGATAATTATGATATCTGAATATGCTTCTGATCTGTATGTAAGTGTCTTGATTTTTATAACAGTTATCCTGTTCACTCAGGTATGTTATATGTTTGTTGACTACATGTTAATTATGTTATGTTGCTATGTGATTTGATAAGTAATTATTATCATTGTTATTGTTATATATATTTTTTGGTATTATTATTTGTACCGTACCACTCAGCACATTGCTGAGCACGTAGTTGTTTGTTTTTCCTACCCGTAGGTTGACGTGGACTCAGCTAAGATAAGGATACTGGGATGGACGGTGGCGTAGGATTCATGTGCATACCATGTGTGTATTGTTGAAAATAAATAAAAATAAAGCAAGTTTGACTTTAATCTTAATTGATCATTTTCGTTTTGTAAACGCTTCCGCATATGATAAAATATTTTGTGATGTATAATATTAAGTGATTTATGACGACTTGATATATTTTTTAGTATTGAATAATAAATTGACGTTTTAATAAATATGTTTTATTTAATAATTAATTTTATTTAAATAATAAAAAGTATTTCGGTCAAATCTGTTTTGATTTCTACCACGTGACACATTGCTCGGATCGGCGGGGCTGGTTCGGGTAGGGTGTTACACGTGCGGTATGCTGGCCAAGAGATGGAGGCAACTCACGGGCAGATCAGGGTGTTGAAAGAAGAAGATGAAGGGATGAAGATCCGCTCCCCTCCTGAACCGCCGACATGCTGGAAATGGGTGATTAGGGGTCGGAACACCGCGCTGGAAGATTGGAATCAGCGGCTTAATAAGTTCATCCTGCTTAAATTCATTGTTCCCAGTTTTAGTCTTTTTACTAAGAAATTAGTTGCTATCATTTTGTTTTTGGTATTTGCTTATGGTAATAGGTTTTTTACGCTGACCGAGGGTTCGGCTAGATTTAATATTGTTAGTGGGGGACAGATCTATTTGTTCAGCAATAGCTGCATTAAGCCCGTCTCGTTGTTAGCGATTCGTATTGCTCCTTTAGGGGTGGTCATCTCTATGTTTAATCGTAGGGCTAAAAGTAGTAGTTGGAAAGCGAGAGTTGTTGTTAGTTTCTGGTCATTTTGAGATTGTTGTAACGATCCTGATTCTAATTATATCAATATAGTCGTTTTCCTTTCAAAAAAAAATTAATTTTTATGTTTTCTGAACGTGGAACGTCCGATAAGACTATAATAATTTAAGAGAGATCTAAATTGTTCTAGATTACTATCGCTCACACCTTACTACTCGCTAAGAGATTAGCACGGTTAGAAGCTTGTCGCACAAGAGACCTGCCTGCCTCTCTAAATCGTTGTACACTACGCCGCTAGCAGTAAGAATTTAGTATTGATTAGCGTTGCTCAATTAGATAATTACCATGTGATTAAGCCCGATCAGCCTCAAAATCTGATTGTCCCGGAGTCAATGTCGGATCTCTTCCTATCATTAATTCGAATGAGTCACTTAATTTTAGCTTTATTTTCGTAACAATTTAATTTCAATAATCCATATCGCAGAATCACATTGAATTTATTTAATTTAATCACTGAATTTATTTAATAATTAATTTCCCTTTTCTGTTCTTGTAGAGATGATACTCGTTCTTAAACCATGTACTGTCACATGCATTTAAACTGCGAGAAAAACACACATCAAAGAGCTGATTCTTCTCTCAACTTCTTCCAAAAATAATCCTTCTTGTCCTATATGGTAATGAGAATACTTAAGATGAGCCTGCTACCCTCTTGTGAGAAAAGCGCCCCAATTCTAGGTTTATTTTAGTGTTTTCCATCCTCCTCCGATCCCTTAAAGCTGTGACATTCATATTAGGGATTTCAGGTGGTCGGGCTAGATGTATTCTCCCTGTTCCCGGTCTCGGTAACCATGCATCACCCCACACTTGAATGTCTCCATCGTCTCTGACTATTCTCCGAACATTTTTTTGGATAACTGGTTGAGTCTCCTAACTACTACGCAAAATATATGGGGGATTATTACCCGGTTGTGCATCCAGAAATGAGCACCCAAGAAAATGATGAACTTTGAAAACTCGACGAACTAGGCTTATCAATCAAATGTTTCACTTAACACGTAACTTTTGAATTTGCGGGCTGAATTTTATATTAATCACAATAAGTAAGGTTAAATTTAATTTACTACCTGAATTAGCTGAAGTTACTTTAGTGGATCATTTCAACTATATTTTTTATTAATAATATATATTTTAAATATAATTGTTTCATACCTCAGAACATCCAACCGCTTAAACCAGAGCATAATCGATTTCATTAGAATAAGATGATTCAGCCAATTTTTTCCACTAAACAAGTAACTTTTGATTCTGCGCACTGGATTGTATAATAATTAAAATAAGTAAGGTTGAAGTTACTTTTCGGACTGAATTGGCTGAAGTTACTGTAGCGGATTACTTAAGCTATTGTTCCATATAATTTTTTCTTGGTTTCCTTTAAAATATTTTTTTCCAATAATTTAGTAGATTCAGTGAATTTAGCCGATTCAGGCAATTTCAGTGTTACAAAATGAACTCTAAAATTGCCTGTATCTGCTGAATGTGAAAAAAAATTAAAATTTATTTTATTATAAAATTGAGAAAAAATGAATGTACAATAATTAAAATGATCTTGCATAATAACTTCATTCAATTGAATTACAAAAGTAACTCCAACCTTAATTATTTTTATTATCACACAACACGAGAAATAAAAAATTACGTATTTGATAAAAACTTATGTGATATTAAACTGAAAATAAAACTTACTCTACCAAACAGGCTTTAAATATTTTGTTGCAATTACGGTTGATGTTGGCCGGTTATGGTGATTTTTCCCCAGAGGGGTTGAGCTGAATTATAAATAAGAAAAGGACTTGGCTTAACTCCATAGAATGATCGATTGATACTCCGTACTATGAACACGTTTCGAAACTCGGTTGACTCTATTTCTTGGCAACTCCAGAGGAAGAGAAAGGCCCAATTTCATACCTAACCAAACTCTATATATATATATATATATCAACCCAACCCCAGATTGGATCAATCACTCGCTAGTAGCTACTGCTCCTACTCACTCATTCATCTTCAAAGCTAAGCTATTCAGCTTCTCTTTACCAATTGCCCTCCAAATTGAAAACCACCCACAAATGGGGAAGGTATGTATAATTATAATCTCTTCTTGCTGTAAGTTCCAAGCAGTAAAACTGCAAATTAGAACTATGTTTGCACTCTTGGATTTCATAAATCTTGAATTTCCGTTTGAATTATCTTGAATGTTTTTATAATTGGCAGCAAAAGGTAGTATTTAGCATCACTATGAGGGATGAAAAGGCTAAAGTCAAAGCCCATAAGATTGTCGTTACCCACTGCAGTGGTACGTACTTAATCAGATTGTTCAATTTCAATCTCACTAACTTAATTGTGTGTATCATATAATATAATACTCATACTTTTCAGGAGTTGTTTCAACATCGGTGGACCAAGAGAAGGGGCGGATAGAGGTGGTCGGCGAGTTTGATGCCGTGGCGTTGGCCGTCGAGCTGAGAAGGAAACTTGGACAAGCTAATATAGAGACCATGGCCCCCGTGGTTGAAGAAAAGAAGAAAGAATACAAAAGGAATGATACTCCAACACCCCAATACGGGACAATCACTTTTAATCCATACACTTCCTATCAAGCGCCTTCTTACTACTACGGTTATTAGGCTAATCCTTACAATAATTAATGATTATGAACATGTGTGGGAGGCGTAGTATTGTAATTCAATTCACTTTGTAAAGGAACTAATAAACCTATTACTTGTCATATATGATTCTTTTCTTGTCAACTAGTATAGTACCTGTGCATACGCACGGGAAAAAATAGTTGGTGCATATATTTGTACTGAATTACTGATATCTAATTATAAATTAATATGTAAACATTTCTCACTTAATAATTAGCAAGATTATCTTCTTATTATATTTAAAAGCACCTCATATGAGAGAGATAACTCTTCCGCTCAATTGTTAGCTTACATATCTACTTATTATACCTAAAAGCTGTACATATGGGAGAGAAAATTCTATTGCTCAATTGTTAGTTGGATTATCATACTTAAAATAACTACATATGAGAAAGAAAGTTTGTCCGCTCAATTGTTAGCAAGCTTATCTTCTTATATTCATATATCTAAAATTCACTACATGTGACAGACAAAATTATCTTGTTCAACTTCCTCGCTCAATTGTTAGCAAACTTATGTTGTAATATGTAGAAACACTACATGTGAGAGAGGAAATACTCCCGCTCAATCATTAGGAGGCTTATTTTCTGTTACTCGGAACCACTACATATGAGAGATAAAGTTCTTATACTTAATTGTTAGTCGGCTTATCTTATCTTATACTTAAAAGCACTACATATGAGAAAGAGAGAGTTTTCCCGCTCAATTATTAGCAAATTTATCTTCTAATCTTATACTTAAAAGCACTACATATGAGAGTGAGAGAGAGTTTTCCCGCACAATTATTAGCAAAATTATCTTCTAGTCTTATATATACTTAAAAGCACTACATATGAGAGAGAGAGAGAGTTTTCCCGCTCAATTATTAGCAAATTTATCTTCTAATCTTATACTTAAAAGCACTACATATGAGAGTGAGAGAGAGTTTTCCCGCACAATTATTAGCAAAATTATCTTCTAATAATAATACCTAAAAGCAGTACATATGAGAGAAAATTTTCCCGCTCAATTTGTCCGCTCAATTGTTAGCAAGCTTATCTTCTGATACATTGAAGCACTACATGTGAGAGAGAAAATTCTCCCGCTCAATTATTAGCAAGCTTATTTTCTTATACATAAAATCACTACATATGAGAGACAAAATTATTCTGCTGAATTGTTAGTCATCTTATCTTATCCTTAAAAGAACTACATATGAGAGAGTTTTCCCGCCCAATACCTAAAAGCACTACATATGAGAGAAATTTTTTTCGCTCAATTTCTCTGCTCAATTGTTAGTAAGGTTATCTGCTCATATATACCTACAAACACTATATATTAAAGAGAAAATTCTTCCGCTCATTTATTAGAAAGCTTATCTTCTTTTACCTAAAACCACTATATATGGGAGATAAAATTCTCCCGATCAATTCTTAGTCAGATTATCTTGTAACTAAAAGTACTACATAATTTCAAATGAAAAATGAGCATATAAGCTTTTTTGTATTATATAAGGGCTAGTTTATTATTATTGTAGTCGTTAAATTTTGGCAAACTTATCTTCGAATACCTAAAAGCACTACATATGATAGAGAAAATTCTGTTTTGTGGCTTTAGTTTTTAGTTTGGGAGGAAGCAAGCAGGCTAATTTGGCCGATAATAGTTTTGAATCTCTCGCATGGTCAGCGATTAGTCTTGCTCATTATTGGGTAGTCTATTTTATGTCTAATCAGAGAGTGAGGTTACCTATTGGCTATAAGGAGTCTAGAAGAAATGTTTGGGTAGCCAGAATATAGGATGTTTAGTTGTTTGATTTTTGAATTTAATATAAGCGTTTTCCAGCAAAAAAAATTAAATTTTCTATGAACTTTTATAGTGACTTTAATATAATTTTATACATAATTATAGTAACTAAAAATTAATAAGTCATACTTTTAGTCAATATCCTTATTTTAGTCATATATTGGGAATTATGTCTTTAATTAATAAGGAATAGCCCGTATTGAGGTTGGAAAATTAACAGGTTACTTAATACACTTTCAGTTTTTTTTTTCAAATTTTCTATATGCAATATTGTTCTCATATGAAAAATAAAAAAAAGTTAGGAATTTTGTTATATGTTTTGTAGAAATTACAACAAAAATTAAAAAGTTATAACGCTATGATGAAGAAATTGGGGTTCTTATATTTTGGACCCCCCCCCAATTGTATGACTTTATATTTCTCACTGCTAATATCTCATATGACTCTCATTTGAGCAAATTTATCACACCACGTGACATTTTAGTACTACTGATCTATTTTACATTGACAATACTATCATATGTTGAACATCTTTTTCATTTAGAATGCCATTTAGAGTTGTTTGGTAACACATAAAATGGATGAATCTATTGAAATTGATAAAATTCTTGTTGAAACCGCTGAACTGGCTGAATATACTGAATTATGGAAAAAATAAATTTAAATATATTTTATTGATAAAGTAAATAAACATTTGTCTGAAAAAGTTGCTAAAATTTTCGTTTATAATAACTTCATTCAATTCAGGCAAAATATTAACTTCAACCTTTCTTATTTTGATCATTACATAATTAAGCTATCGATATCAACTTCCATAACTCTACTATTATGTATTCCAATATTTTATATATATATATATATATATATATATATATATATATATATATATTAATATATGTGCTTATATTTGTTGAAATGTTCTAAATAAAATTAGGTAAAGTATTGCACTCGCCAGTATTACAAAATACAAATACTCCAAAATAAAAAACAATTAACAATATTTAGATGCTTTTAAATAAAAAAATAACTCTCTATTTCTTTTCCCATAATCTCTCGCAGATTCTCCATTATTCAGGATTTTATAAATTGTTTCTTATTTCTTTCTAAAATATGATAATTATTACATCTTCCGTCTCATTAATTTTCTCCGACATTTCCTTTTTCATTTGTTTACTAAGTTTATGTAGCTCCAAATATTATCATACATGCACTACAAAAAAATAGCCCATTCCGGATATTTAAAAAAAAAATCAAAAAAAGTTTGTCACGGATAAATCCGTGACAAAATGAAATATTTGAATTCAAAAATTTTCAACATACCCGGCTAGCCCATTCCGAATATTTAAAAAAATCTATAAAAGTTGTCATGGATTTATCCGTGACAAATAAGAACCGGCGTTGCTCCGGTGCCATGTTGTCACGGAAAGTAGCCATGACAAATCTGTGACAAACTTTGTCACGGATCCGGATCCGTGACAACGATTTTGTCACGCCATGGTTGTCACGGATAATGGCTGTGACAAAGAAACTTTGTCAATAATTTTTTGAACTGCAGGCCGTGACATAATCCGTGACAAGCCTCCTGTTTTTTTGTAGTGATGTGTAGTTCTAAATCATTCTTACATTATTGTCCCCACTTTTTCATTTTAACATTAGCTAGATAAACTCTTTTTTAATAGTTGCACATTACTCGATCTTAATGAGACAAATGTGATATTGTTTATCATTTTATTAATTCACAAGGTCTACCAAATCAATGTCTAAAGGTAGATTCATTTTTTGTCTCATATGTATTTATACCTCCTTCGCAATCTATGTTTCATGTTGTTTAATTGGTTAGCACTCCCCAATGAAATCTTACTCAACCCATGGTAGATTATGCTTTTCATAGGTTGGATCGTCTAACTGCCTAATGGTCTCAAACAATGAGAATGACCTTAAACGATGAGAATGATCTAAAATGATTCACATTATTTTTAATGAAGGTGCACACTTAATTATAGTTAAAATAATTTAGACTTTAAATGGAAGGAAAGGTTGAATTTATTTACAATAAAGTCATTACATTTTTTATTTTTGATAGCGCATATTTCTATTTCACATAATGCACAATTTTCAATCTAATGATCCAGTTCATTCTAATTATGTTTTTACACATTAAGATTTCATCTCATTTGAACTCAACTATATATATATAATGCAAATTTTCTAATCTAACGTTCCAGTTCATATATAGATATAATACTAGAGTATTTTATTTGAATTATTATTATATATAGAAATAATAGTTCAATAATGGTTGTAAAATAATAAGCATATTTGAAAATTACTTTGGTAGTAAACCATCAATATTGAAGATAATGAAAGTAAAAAATAGATGTTTATATTTTGGCTTACTCGCAACCTACATAGTCAACCTAAATAGATGAAATGGGCTAGCCCTATGAAGTTCGACTCCTTTTGACAGCTCTATCCATAATCAACTGAATTTTCTTTTAAACTCTGATAGACAAATTCACATACAATTCATTTCCCCAACAATTTTATAAAAAACTTTAAGCACATAGTTTGTCGTGCAGTGCACAGGTACACATACTAGTTATTAAAATAAACGAAGTAAATGAACTAGTCATTTTCAACTATTCATGAATAGGAAATTATTATTGTCAGAACCAAAATAATTAGAAAATCATAATAACGATTTCAATGTAATCAAAATAGAAATATCCAGATTAGATAATATATTTAAATCAAATCAAAATTATAATCATTCAGGATCAAATAAATGAAGTTCAGATCAGATCAAAAACAGGATCCTTACAGGCCTTCGTTTGACAACAAAAATAAGAATGCCTAATGGGTTTTTATGTACTTCAAACCTATGATAATACATTTCCCAAGATGCCTAATAGGTGTCGTGCCTTTCTTTTTTAAATTATATTCAATTAATTTATTTTATCTTCCCGCCATCTTACTTGTTTTGTGGTAGTTTATGAAAAAAGGACACATGACCGAAAATAATCATATCTTTTGTGGTTGTCAGCGGTCTTTTTCTATAATTAAAGCAATGAAAGTGTTCTCTTGAGAGCAATTTTTTGATCAATCTCACTCCATTGAGAATTGAACCTGGGACCTCTCATAAGGGAGAGTGAGTCGGCTACCGGCTGGGAGAATTCAATTGACTATATGTACAGTTGTCAAAATGAGTCGAGCTCCATCGAGCTTGCTCGTTTTATGGTGGATTGCATTTCAATAACCTGATTAACTCACTGTTTTTGTGGGTCAACATGCACATTTTGTGGGTTGACTATACAGCTTACGATTTGGTCAAAATATAAACATCTAGTTTTGACTTTCACTTACTTAATTATTGTTTGTTTACTACGACATTTATTTAACATCAACCTTCGTTGAACTACTATTTCTATAATAACCATTCAAATAAATTATTTCTGCATA